TTGTTCTTGAAAAACTAATCAGTCACGGCTGATTAGTGGCTGCACTCACAACTGCACAGTGAACCCAATGATTCTTTACAGCAGACAGCCGCTCCTCTGTCTTGAAGGTACTGCGTACCACCGCTAAATCTTTTAGGGGTACGCAGTACCCTGCCATACCCCCTTACTTTCACCCCTGGTCATAACCTACCTTCTTTGATAGTTTCCCTGACATTCTGTCTGCTTCAGAAGGCGATGCTGCTCAGAGTGACATGGGTTTCCTGTCTGAGAGCGTCCTGCGCTACCTGAGAGACCTCCCATCACCTGTCATCCCTGCATGCGTCTATCCGCAACTTCAAACTGCAGTCATGCAGCAGCTGCTTCACCAGCAGTTTCTAGGTGGGTCCAACACTGAGTAGACATGCAGTATATGGTTCTACTGATGAGAGTTCCTAAAGGATAGCTTTTGTATTGTAAAAATTATTTTTTGTTTTGGAAAACACCTTCATCTTTTTGAAGTATACGAGGACTCTTCACTCATTCTGGTCAAATATAATGCATAATTTTATGCATCAAATTATCATAAAATTTGATACATAATGAATTTTATCTGCTAAAAGTGGTTAGTGATTTTATTGATTGTTTTTGATAATAAGCAACACTGTGTAGCCCTCTTTATCAAATTTTCTAAAGCATTTGATACAGTGAATCATGAGATTTTAATACAGACACTTCACTCTATTGACTTGTCAGATGAAACTCTTCAGTAGTTTGACAACTGTTTAACTAATAAATTGTAGTATGTTCAAGTAGGAGGTTTAACTTCCTCTTGGTGTTCTTCAGGGATCAGCTCTTGGGACACTTTTCTTCATTATAAAACAACAGCATATAAAGGCGCTGGTGATATATACGTGCTGGTGACACTGTTTTAGATGGTTCTGGTCTCTTATCTAACAGTGTTTTTAATCAAATAAAGTCAGCTTTAATTTACAAACAAGTCTTTATCACCTTAAACTTGTTTTAAATGTTTTAAAGATGATGCTGTTTTCTAATGGGTCATTTGAAAGTAAATATCTTCCAGTCATTACTACAGCTGAAGGTCTGAAAATTGAAAAAGTGACACAAAAAGGAGATTTTTAATCTCAATCGGATTTTCCTGGTGAAATAAAGGCTAATAATGAAATAATCTTCTGGTTGTTTAAAAATCATTCAGTCAAATATACTTACACAATTAGTAGCTCTACATAAGGCAATTCAGTTTTACTGATAATTGCCTGAATATCTGGCAGATGGAGCTGTTGCTGGTAGCCATGACAGAGAGGTGAGTCTGGTTCTGGAGAACTCCACGGTGGTCCCGTTTCACCATCGTCTCACCTTGCAGTACCTGCTCACACATCTGACCAAGGTGCTCCAGGCACAGGCCAGTAACGGCCTGGACACTCACACTCTGGGAAAGATCTTTGGCCCTCTCCTGATTCAGACAAGCCCCTCTGCCCAAGGGTGAGCTCTTTTACCCTGAATTGAAGCTGATCAGTATATTAGATTGGGCCTCTGTGCTACTGTAAGCAAAGGAAAGTAGTTGAGATAGAAGCCAGGCTAACTGATTTGTTGACCGTCAGGTATTCATGGGAGGAGGATTTTCCCATCCTAGTGGTGGAGAGGTTACTGGTGGAGAGAACTGCACAGCAAGACTTCCCTCCTCCTGGTAAACTCTTTATCTTTAGGATCATGAATTGGGATTCCATCAGATTGACCAGCTTTCAATGGGAATTTCTGCTTTTTTTCCAGTTCTTCCAGCGAAACCAACCAAATCAAAAATAACCCCATCAGATATGACGGACACAAGCAGCCTGCTGAACGATGCTGAGTGGTACTGGGGAGATATTTCCAGGTAAGCCAGCCAAACAGATATTCACTATGTTTTTTGACAGATTGACATATTGGTGAAGTAGAAGCAAATTATATATTTTGATATATAAGCTAGCGGTGTTCTTATAAGACTTTTCTATCATTTTCATGGGGCAATATGATGGAGGCTTCTTCTCAGAAAGCTGGTCAGAGTTGTTGGAACTTGGATTGAGCTGTTATAGGATTCAACCGACTTAGAGGGGCAGTATTATGGAAAATTTATACAGTAAAAACTTTGTTAAAGGGTTAATAGAGGAGCCATATTGTGATGACTTTATTAAGGCAGAGTTTCAGAAAGAGCAGGAGTTTGACATAGAGGCCCAATTTCAAGTGATTAAATGTAAAAGTCAAATTTCTTTTAAGACCTATTTGATATCTACAGCATTTTTATTATAACAACTGGATGTAACACAGTTACTTGATTGTGCTATAAAATGGCACTATGTGCCTGGAAAACAAAGCCTCACCTTTCAGCTGGGTAATGACCTTGAACCTACAGCCAGAGCTGCAATAGAATGAATTAGATCAGAGCATGTTCATGGGCTTATAGTGGCCCAGTCAAAGTCCAGTCCAATAGAGACTTTGTGGCAGGACTTGAAAACTGATGTTCACAGATCCAACCTGCTCCCATGTCTGCAGAGAGGAGGTGAATGAGAAACTGCGAGACACTCCAGATGGAACCTTTCTGGTGCGAGACGCTTCCAGCAAACTGGAGGGCGAATACACTCTAACTCTCAGGTAGAGCTGCAGAGATACACACACACATCCAAGGTTCAGTTCCATTCTGTTTATCAGATTTCTGTCTCTCCCTGCAGAAAAGGAGGGAACAACAAACTGATCAAAATTTATCACCAGGAGGGTCGCTATGGCTTCTCAGAGCCTTTAACCTTCCAGTCTGTGGTGGAACTCATCAATCACTACCGCCATGAGTCCCTGGCTCAGTACAACGCCAAACTGGACACCAAGCTGCTCTACCCCATCTCCAAGTTCCAGCAGGTTGGTTCATTTGGTGACTGAAGTTTAAAGCAAACATTTAGATTTTCAGCATTGAACCACTGATTTCATCTTCTTCCTCTGTTTTCTGTTGCTCAGCTGGTTAAGGAGAACAGCATAGAGGAAGTGGGAGAGCAGCTCAAGGTCTACCATGAGCAGTACCAAGAGAAGAGCCGCGAGTACGACTCTCTGTATGAGGAGTACACTCGCACCTCACAGGTAGCACTTGTTCAGTGAACTCCAATGAGTTCTATGCTCCTGACCAGGGGCGCGGTATATGGGGGAAAAGTGATGACAATTCTAGGGGCCCTGACAACAGGGGGCCCTCCACAATTTAATTATTTATTTTTAGTTCATAGAAATTAAAAAAAAAATCAGGGCCCTGTCAATTACAAAATTAATCATATAGTATTTTCAAAGATTGTTGGCAGTAAAAATTTAATGCCCTCAACAACCCCCATCTGCGTTAAATGGTTCGTTCTGGCTTGGAGTGCTTCACCGTGACACTGTTAGCAGCAGCCACTGAAAGACACGAACGATTGTGGCAGTTACTATGCTGCTAAAAAAAAGTTATAAAATCAGGTTTTCAAAAAAAAGAGAGAGAGAGGGAGAGAGAAAAAGACAAGAGTGTTAATTTATAACCCAGTTTTTCTCCATGAGAGGTGGGTAGATTATGTGGGATTATCAAACATTTAGCATAGTTAGCTAAGCTACAAACTACTGTTTGCCTCCTTTTCACTAGCATTTAATGAATTATGGAAAAAAATTACCAACATATTCATATATTTAACTTGTCCCTTGTACCTTTTACCACTTAACAACAGATGAGTCAGTCAGTAGCAGCTCTAACCCACGTCCCTCCTGACCTGTTCTCTTCTGAGTGAAATTAAAGCTACAGTATGTCACTTTTTTATCAATATTTTTTTCACATATTTTTAAAAACTGTCATTATGTTGTGACAGTATGGCATGAGAGGTAATCTGTGAAAAATCTATTTCCTCTGCCTTCTGTAGAAACAACCAGTCAGTGGCAGGAGAGTTCTAGTGCTGTCAATCACCATCTCATGTGGTGCTGCTCATTCTTCCTCCCCCTCGCCTTGTGCCGTGCTGTAGTTAGCATAGCACAGAGCTGTGCAGATTCAAACTGAATGCTCAGTTTAGTTAGCATAGCTACCAATGACGGCAGATAAACAGTTTCTTGTAATGATAAGTTGTTTCTCCACCATTAACACATTTAGCAGTGAGTGAATGAGGCTAATTGACAGTGCTAAGAGCGTCCTACTAGTTCTGATTGGTTGTTTTTGGTCAGAACGGTGCATTGCTTTAACCAGTAATAGTAATTCAGGAAGGAGATGGAGGAGATTGATTGTTTTCACAGATTATCTGTCTCATAACAAACTGCTACGACATCGTGACAGCTTTAACAAATATGAAGAAAACATATTTTTTATTAAAGTTATGTACTGCAGCTTGAATAAAATGCAACTACATAACATTTTTGAGAAGTCTGGATTGCTTTATGTGTATTTTGCACGTTGCTTTTGACTGTTGCTCATGGAGAGACATTTCAGTAATCTAAAACTAATAGAAAAAAATTTAAGCAACCTACTTGCATACTGGATGTGGACAGTTGGATGTTAAATTCATGAGCAGTAAATATTGTGCTAATTATCAGTATTGAACCAAAGAAAGCAAGGCAGATACAAGTCTTTAAAATTGTGATGCTTTTTATGGGTCAAATACAGTCAAAAAATTGCAACAGCAGCTGCGTGGGGGGCCCAAACAAATTTTTTGTCAGGGGGCCCACGATTCCTGGCGGCGCCCCTGCTCCTGACAGACGTTTACTGAGCTGTTTAGAACGTTCTAGCCAAGTAAAATATTCCCCAAGATATAACAAAAAAAGAGAAATATTCTGTCTGAGGCATGAAACTCTCAATAATCCAAAACCTGCTGAAATCACCAGAGGGAGTTGGCTTAGTAACAGAGTAGCCAACATTATTTCATTTTGTGTTTTGCTCTTACTTCCAGTTGTAAATATATTATTCTGTACAACTTATATAAATTCTGACCAACAAGTTGTAAAATTCTCTAGATTCACTCCAAAAAAAGAAAAAAAAGATTTTCCTTATTTACTACAGAGTATTAGTGAATTTAGAGCAGGGGTCTCCAAACTACGGCCCGCGGGCCGGATCCGGCCCGTCTCCACATTTGGTCCGGCCCCCTGAACAATACCAGAGAGCGTTCAGATTTTTTTTCATTTTCCGGTTTATATGTGGATTTTTCTTCAACCACCAGGGGTCTCTTTAGCAGGAAGTGTGTCCTGCTAAAGAGACACAGCCGACATCTGAGGGGGACAGCCGACATCATCCAGACCGCATGTCTGAAGACTCGACCTGAATTTTGTTACTCCCTCGCTTTCAGAAACAACTTTCTTTTTTCAATGACACATTTTGTTAAGTCTTTAACAAAATGTGGGGCGCATTGCTGCCATCTGTTGGACTTTTAGGGAACTGCTCGACTTTTATGTTATTTAATCAGTACGGTTGTTTGCTAGCGGTAGAGCAGATGAACACATGTGTCTGTTATGAACGCTGCATTCCAGGTTGAATTCTTCGAAGCATTGCCTGTAAGTAGAAACTTATACTTCAAAACGAGCCTTTATGTTAACATATGAGAAATTATGAATATATTATAGTTACATTCCCTCAATGGAATATATACTAGTCAGTCCCAGTTACCGTTTCACTCATGGGTTTTGCCCCTGTGCTTTCTGGGTAAAAATAAATCGAGAAACGCACCCACTGTTTCAGTTTTCTCCATGCAAAACAACCCAAAACTGTCGACTACCAGTTAATTTACAATCATAATTTTGCTAATTGTTTTCAACTTTTACGTCTTTCTCATTAACTATATTATCCTGTCAAACCAGTGTCAAACCTTTATGAGAACTCCATTTAGAGTAACCACTAGCAATTATTTTCTGTCCAGTCATTCAAACAGAACAGCACAGATTTATTTAGTTTGATTACGTATGCGCTACAATCCGGTTACTATAGCAACACACATCATAGCAGTTTTCTGTCAGTCACCTGAGAGGCTGGTTTCATTTGAAGATTTATAATTGTACTGACATTTATGCTAGGCAACAACAAAACACCATCATTTTCTCCTCATCTTTGAATGATAGTACACTTTTGTGCTGTATATGTGTAGAATTAAAGGATGGATGAGGACTTAGCGACCCTTCTAAGAGCCAGAGAAACTGCAGTGACTCCAGAACTTTCCCTGGCATTTCAGCTGAAGATTTGAAATCATTGTGTGGTGGAAAATTTCAATTATCCTGAAGTTGTAGCTTTTTGCAATCCTGGTTTAATACTTCCTGCAGGAGCTGCAGATGAAGCGAACAGCCATTGAAGCCTTCAATGAAACCATCAAGATCTTTGAAGAACAGTTTGAGACCCAGGAGAAATACAGCCGAGAGTCTTTGGAACGATTCCAAAGAGAGGGCAATGAGAAGGAAATTCAAAAGTATGTCCAGACTTGCATTCTTATTCATCCTCATCCAGCTTGTGGTTTTAGGCAACAATTGTGATATTCTTTCAAATCAGGATTCAGAGCAACTCTGAGCGTTTGAAGTCCCGCGTGAAGGAAATCCACGACAGCAAGCGAAAACTGGAGCAAGACCTGAAGGAGCAGGTGTCTGACAACAGAGAGATTGACAAGAAGATGAACAGCCTCAAGCCAGATCTCATGCAGCTTCGCAAGATCAGGGACCAGTACTTAATGTAAGCGCCAGCTCTCTTCTGGCCAATGAGGGCATGCAGGAGACACACATACTGCAGACACGCTCAGCAGCCTTTAGTGGGGTTTCTGTTTTTCAGATGGTTGACACAGAAGGGAACAAGGCAGAAGAAGATCAATGAATGGCTGGGCATAAAGATCGATGCTGATGAGTAAGTGTTCCAGCTCAGACCTGGATGCTTAGTGAAACCAGCCATTAGGAGCGGCACTTCAACACTAACGCTTGACTTTTTTGTTCAGCTCCTATTCTCTGGAGGAAGATGACAGCTCACCTCACCATAACGATTGTACCTGGTATGTAGGTGACATCAAGCGCTCCCAGGCGGAGGAAATGTTGAGAGACAAATGTGATGGAACCTTTCTCATCAGGGAAAGCCAATCACAGAAGGGCTCTTATGCGTGTTCTGTTGTGTAAGTTTGTGTTCTTCTAAATAAGAATGGATTTCACATCCTTGATCTGACACTGAGATCCAGTGTACTATCACATTAAAGTACAAAAAAAATAATGACAAAATGAACTTGGGTGGACCTAGCCCCGCCTTCAAGATTCAGCTCCTCCTGTAAGATGCAGTTTCCAAGCTTCTGCCTCACAGAGCAGCCCTCCCCCATGACTCCCTCATAGTTGATTATGCTATAAAATGCTACTATGTGCTTGAAAATCACAGAATGCTGTCCCTTGAAATACTTATCAGGCACAAAAATCGTTATGAATCTTTTATACTGGGAACCTAGACACTGCTTGAGTTTAGTGCTCCTGTACTGCACAGTTACTCTAACCTGGTAATAACTCTGCTCTTCCTTTCAGTGTTGATGGCGACACAAAGCACTGTGTCATCTGCAAGACATGCACAGGTTATGGATTTGCTGAGCCCTACAATCTGTACTCGTCTCTCCAAGAGCTGGTACTCCACTACAAAAACGTCTCCTTGGCCCAACACAACGACCATCTGAATGTAAATCTAGCTTATCCAGTCTTGGCCCGCTCCCAGAACCTGAAGTAGAACCAGCAGCCCAGATGATCTATAGATTTACCAGCAGTGGGGCACCGAGCCTCTGGAGCCCTGGACAGTGTCAACTGTTTCAGAGAAAGAAGTGTGTTTTCGTCTGGAACTTGATACATCTATAGTTCCCTAACAGAACCCAGTCCATTAAAAAACACTCCTCCCAAAAAGCACATCACTACTGACACAGAGCTACTGGCTGAGAGGGTAAAAATGAGCCTCTACATTAGCCAGTCACAGCTCTACTGGGTAAAATCTACAAAAGGCCCCAAACATCCACAGGAAGGTAGACTGGACACAGAGATATTAGAGACAACATGTGTTAAAGGAGAACAAAATAAGCACAAACAAGTCTTTTTAAGGTTGCACAAAAGAGATGGAAAGAGCATGTTGTGAAACTATTGGAAATATTTAAAACTTTTTCTTTTTTTTTTTTTTTTTTTTTTTTTTTTTGTCTTGAGCACAAAGTATCTGTGTTTAAACAAATGTCTTATGTGTAAAATCCAGACTTTCTGGAAACACTGACAAAAAGTATGTGTTTTAACTCAATAAAGGAATGGCTGCTCACTTCCCACCTGAAGCCACCTGAGAGGATCCAGCAGGTCGGGGCTGGGCTGTGGGATTTTAAGGGTTTTACCTTCCAGAAGCACACAGGAATAGTTCTGAATGACCACAAGCTTCTGTCATTTTACATTTTAAGGGTTGAAAGGAGAGGACTGGGAATAATATCAATGTGGCCACAGTTTAAAAGATATACAGGCAGATATTTTTTATAGACTCATTTATATCCATCTGCTTTGCTGTGTGTCTCTCATTAGGTCTCTTTTTGAACTAATGAGGAAAAAAAAACATTAAACGATGAATAGGAGCAAATGCAAGGTACATATTTGCTATTTTGTCAATGACAGAATACGCTAGATTGTGAGGTACATTTACAAACACAGTTCTATGATTCAGGTGTGCTGCGTCAGATGCCTCTTCCTGTTTTTTCTTCTCTAATACTGTAGCACCCGTAACTATTGACACTCTGCACTGTTAGTGCGCTACTTTTGCGTGTAGATTCGCTGCGGTACCAGCGCTTGTTGAGTATCGACCTCTGTGATTCTTCTACCATCGGTACTGAATTAGTTTCCTGTAAAGTTGGAATAGACTCCCAGTGGTGTGATCCCCTCTCAGATAAATGTTTTAATTTGTTTCTTTGAGGCAGAGTTTATGATGGTACATCTCTGTTGCACCTGACTGTTCATTTCATCTGATGCTTGATTCAGAGACCTGGAGAACATTAATGTACAAAAAAGAGAGAAAAGAAGGCAGTAATATATGTTGTGTACAGTATATTTTAGACGCACATGCTTTAGATGTATGTGACTTTATAGAGTTGCCTAGTTTCCTTTATGTTTTCAGAATATTTGTTGTTTTCTTAGGTTCTGTTTGAGGATTTGGATGATCTGTCAAATGTCAGGAGGTGTTCTCATGTAGCACAACAGGAATAAAAGAACACGTCCTTTTGCCATTAAGCTAAGAGATTACCCGCTATGGCGTGTATGGAGGTCTTCATTTGTTTTTGTTTCTTTTTTTTTAATTGGACAAATGGTTGAAAATCTGTTGGCATGTAGTGATTAGGTCATGGTGTGTGGTACTCCAAGCACACTAAATTTTAGATTGAGGAACCGTCTCCAGATCAGTCCATGTCTACTGTTCTGTACTGTGGCATTGATCTCCTCTTACTGTTTCTGTGTGCGTTTGGCTCGAGGGACTAATTGTTGTCACCTCCATCGCTTTTAAATTACAGTTGTACAGATACAGAGATATGCAGTTCCTTTTGTGGTCAGTGGAGGCACTGCAGAGAGACAAGTTACAAGGCTGCTTTTAAACTTGATTCTCAAACAGACACAAATCTTTCATAATTTCTTACACAAATGACTGAGAATGGTAAAGAGAATATGCATGAATATATATTTTTGTATCCTGGAGCAGACCAGTCATTTATGATCGAGTGTTGAATACTCTTTGCTTCATGTGTTTTTGTCGGGGTTAAAAATGTTTCCAAAATTTGATCTTCACCAGTTTTCTGCTCCTAACAGCAGGTGAAGAGGTGGCATCAGAAGTTGTTTGTGAAGACCTTTGCTTCGAACTCTTTGAGTATCGCCGCTTACTGAGCTGAATTGACCCTGGGAAGCTCAGATTAAGATGGATCCATTGTACTATAGAGTCATTTGCACAGTTGTTGGTACGGCGTAGATCCCAGGAATGAAAGCAGAGGCGGCAGCCGAGCTTCTGTTTAGAGGTCTACAGCGCTGAGGGAGGTGACTACAAGTGCCTTCCGTCATCCTGAGGAGATTGTGTTCTCCTTGTTGTCACCATTAGATGGTGCCATCACCACCATGTTGTCGTGCCACACATTTGCCATATCTAAGGTTAAGGAATATCTGGCAAATGAGCCTAGTTGTTGTTGTTGTTGTGTGTATGTGTGTATGTGTAGTGAACAGAATGACCGGCTTTGCTGTAACGTCTGAGGTTGTTACCATCCTTCTTTGTTCAGTTGCATCTACACAGTAGCTTGGTCCTCTGTCGTTGTGTACTAAAGCTTTGGATTTTTTCTATAACTATCTGGTATGTCTGGAATGAAATGCAGATGTGTTAGAAATGTGAACAGTATCCATTTTTAGCCTGGTGTAGTTCTTTGCTAGCCTCCCAAGTTCCAGCAATATTCTTTTTTTTTCTTGGATATCTTGAAGTGGGTTGTGTGAAGTACATGTGACAGCAAAGGACTGACCTGACGTAGACGAGCAGCAGCAACACCCCAGTTTGGAGAATAAATAAAAATGGTTCTATCTGTCAAATATATATCTTATAAGCTCAGCATTGGTGAGAATAAACTGCCTTCCATGCATTTCTTTAAATTTTATCTTTATATCAACAATTAACTTAACTATCCAATACCCACAAAGAGAAATGTCAAAAAAATTTGAATGATTTAAAAAGACGTTTCTTGACTTGTTCTTGTTTGGCTGAAAATTCTTTGGCGTCTTCTTCATTTTTCTTAGTCCAATAATGCTGATTCATATTTTATTTCTTAAAATATGAACCTCTCCTTTTCAAAGTTATTAGAAACCTATACTACTTGACCTCAGTAAATAAATATGTATATAGAGATTTTTCATTTTGTTAAACTCTGACCTTCTATAGCCAATTAATGCTACTTCTCATGTCTCTTGATTCACTATAAATGAACTACATATAGCTCTACTACTTGGATGAACTGACAGTTTGACTGTCTTCACAATAAAATGTTCATTTTTAAATAAAACCAGGATTACCAATAATCAGGTTTGCGTTTGTGACATATAGAAATACATGTCATCCTTCAGTATGAGCAAAATCCAACTAAAAAATAAGTTTAGTTTATTTTTCTCACATATTCAGAATATATTCAGATATATATATATATAAAAATTCCCCTCTCACCCTCTGTGGGTGGTCTCTTTCATCCTCTGAGCTCGGGTCCTCTACCAGAGGCCTGTGAGCTTTAGGGTTCTGCGCAGTATCTTGGCTGTGCCTAGAACTGCACATTTCTGGACTGAGATGTCTGATGTTGTTCCTGGGATCTGTTTGAGCCACTGCTCCAGTTTGAGGGTGACTGCCCCGAGGGCCCCGATGACCACAGGCACCACTGTGGTCTTCACCTTCCATATATATATATATATATATATATATAAATATATATATATATATATTTATTTCCACAAATCATTTCATCTTCAAAGTCCTTTGAAAATATGCAGAAAGACAATAACACATTAATTTATTGAAATGTTCACCAATATTATTGCATGTGGCATGTTTTCCTAATATCATGCAGCCATGCTTACTAGGTCTTCGTCCTCCAGCAACAACTTTCACTCTGAAGAGTGTTGTCAGTGAAGTCTGTTAGTGATATGGTGCACTCTCTGTTCTGGTCACCAGCTGATTGTTCCATGCTTCTCTACTTAGACATCACCATGACTTAAGAACTCCTTTGAACTCTCTCAATTGACATCTCCCAAGGCTGCCTTTGCTGGCACATACATAAGGTAACTAACGAAGCTGGAACAGTGCCTTCAAACAAAAGAAGTAGCACCACTTTCAAAGAAAAAGCACAGATGTCCAAAAGGACCTCGAAACCACAAACAGACCTCGTGGTCCAATGGTTTACATTCCCAGCAGTGGAGTAAATGCAGAAACCAAAATGTAAGACAAATTTTAGATGTCAGTTCACTTACTCTGCTGGTGGCTCCCAGTTCAATATCGGGTCACAAATCTTTTCTGGTCCTTGACTTACCAAGTCCATTGTTTAGATGTGAGCTGTGGTTATCCAGACAGATGGGGCATCTTGAACCACAGTCACTCCCTGAATCGACGCACATTGCTGCAATAAGTCATTTATCTCCAGTGGCATGCGAGAGAGGCCATCTGCATCCATATTGTGTTTGCCTGGTTGATATTTAATGGTGAAATTGAAATCTGCAAGTTGGGCAACCCACCTATGACCTGTGGCATTTAACTTGGCTGTGGTGAGAATATAGGTCAGTGGATTATTATCTGTATATACAAGTGAGGTGCATGATACAGATAATCTCTGAATCTTTCACATATTGCACACTTAAGTGCTAGGAATTCCAATTTTCTTGAATGCATGTGATCATTTTTCTCAGGTGGGTTCAGTGTTCTAGATCCATACCCGATGACAACCATTGTGTTATTCTGTCTCTGATATAGAACTGCTCCTAACCCTTCCTTGGAAGCATCAACATGCAGAATAAATGGCTGGGTGAGATCTGGATACCCGAGGATGGGAGGCTCAGTGAGTTTGTCAATAAATGTGTTTAATGTCTCTTGATGGTTCTGTGTCCAGTGAATGGGAGTGTTTGATGGGAGGTTACCTTTATTTCTTGCAGTGCTGATGTTCCACCAGGCCTTATGCTTTCTTGATGGTGGATTTTCAGGTTGATTTTCAGGTGGACTGACCAGAAGCTGGTAGAGGGCCTTAGCTATTCTGGAGAAGTTTGGTATGTATGTTCGATAATGGGAGATAAATCCCAGCATTTTTCTCAGATCTCCTACAGTTGTGGGGGTTCTCTCCTTCAAAGCTTGTACTGGTGCCACTTCTGCTGGATCAATCATATAGCCCTCACCAGAGACAAGACGCCCCAGAAATCTCACTTTTCTTTTGAACACCACACACTTCTTTGGGCTTAACTTTACACCATGCTTCTGGTATCTTTGCAACACAGTTCTCATGTGGTTGAGATGAGCCTCAAAACTTGGGCTGTGAACTAAATTATTATCCAGATAGGGTATCACATCCCTTAAGCCAACCAGACATTCCTCCATTCTTCTTTGGAACTCTGCTGGGGCAGCACTCAAACCTGGTACAGACCTCATGGTGTTATGAAAGCAGTTAAGGGCTGACTTTTCTCATCCAGAAACCCTTGATGGTACGCCTTCCCCTGATCCAATACAGAGAACCAGGAGCTACCAGTGAGAGAATCAAGCATGTCTTGAATCCGGGGAATGGGGTGGCGGTCAGGGACAGATTTAATTCCCTGTAGTCACAGCACAACCTCAGAGCCCCATCTTTCTTTCTCACACACACCACTGGTGTATGGAGAGTGTGACTGAGTTATCCAGCCTCTATTCAGTAGATCTTGAAGGTATTCTTTAACTTCCTGATGTAATGGCTTGGGAACTGACATACAGGTGCTGGTCATAAAATTAGAATATTGTGATAAAGTTCATTATTTTCCATAATGTCATGAT